CACCCACACTTGCAAATAATACCCACATGACCTGGCTTCAAAATGACTGGATGATCAGAGCTCAACTAGAAGAAGAAAGAAGAGGAAAAAAAGAGTAATCGGATACAATTTGATGAACTTGACCTACACCTATGGATGCAGTAGCTCAAATGAGGGAACAAATCTTTACAGCAAGGATCATGGGCAACTTGGACACTGGCTACCCAAAGTGGGGGAGGGAGGCCTACAAAGACAAGAAGTGACTGGCTTACAAGCTTTCAAGAGGGAAACTAGATCCAGAGGGCATGGAGGAAGGTAGAATCTCCACTGAGTAGTATCCAATCTCTCTAGGTGGGGTTGATGAAAGGAAATGCGGATAGGTCTCTTGTGATACAATAGTGAATAACTGTTAGCAGGACTGACTGTGAGGGTTGGAAATGTAAAGGTAGACGTTTTGTAAGGAGGGGAGTGATTAACTTTGCATCAAGGGAGAAGAGCGGAGAGCGGGACCCTACCCAGAGAAGCAGTGATGCCTGAGATGGAGGCAGAGACGATGACGTAGAGAGAGAGAGTAGCTGGGGACTTTAGACCCAGAGAGGGAGAGGGGCTGTGTGCTGACAACCAGGGGGCAGGCTTGTAAGGTATACACTTTTGGTTGGTTGATGATGCATGGAGGGAATTCCATGGAATGAAATGATATATGATAGTATGAATGTAAAACTAATGTTCTCCCATGTAAGCTATCACATAATTCACAACAAAACATTAAAAAAAAAAGAGCCTATGATACTGAAAGAAGTCATCCAAGGTGCACTGAAGGCACTGGCAAAGAACAAGGATCCAGGAAATGATGGAATATAAATTAAAAATTTTGAATCAACTGATGCAGCGCTGGACGCACTCAATCATCTATGCCAAGAAAATGAGAAGAAAACTAACTGATCAACTGGTCGGAAGAATGCCGTACCTGAGCCCATTCTAAAGAGAGGTGACCCAACAGAATTGGGAAATCATCGGTCAATATTAGTAATATCACATGCAAGTAAAATTTTGCTGAAGACAATTCAAAAATGGCTCTAAGAGTACCTTGACAAGGAATTGTCAGAAGTTCAAGCTGGATTCAGACAACAACATGAACAAGGGATATCATTGTTGACATCAGATGGATCTTGGTTGAAAGCAAAGAATATCAGAAAGATGTTTACCTGTGCTTTACTGACTATGCAAAGGCTTTTAACTTTGTGGATCATGACAAGCTATGGACATCATTGTGGCGAATGAATATTCCAGAACACTGGTAATTGTGTTCTTGAGGAACTTATACACAGACAGTGGTTTGACTAGAACAAGGGAACAATGAATGGTTTAAAATTAGGAAAGGTATACGACAGGATTGTATTCTACCACCAAATTTACTCAGTCTGTATGTTGAGCAAATAATTCAAGAAGCTGGATTATATGAAAAACGTGCTATCAGGATTGGTGGAAGGAAGACTCATTAACCTGCAGTACATAGATGAAAACACTTCAAACACTTACTGATGAAGATCAAAGACCACAGTCGTCAGTACAGGTTGCACCTCAGTGTAAAGAAAACAAAAATCCTCCCCCCTGGACCAGTAAGTAACAGCACAAGAAATGGAGAAAGATCGAAGTTGTCAAAGACTTCATTTTTCTCAGAGCCACCATCAATATTCATGGAATCAAGAAATCAAACAGCGTACTGCATTAGGCAAATCTGCTGCACAAGGCCTTATATTTAAAGTGCTCAAGAGCAAAGATGTCAGTTTGAAGAATAAGACATGCCTGACCCAAGACATGATATTTTCAATAGCTTCATATGAATGTGAAAGTTGGACCATGAATAAGAAAGACCACAGAAGAATTGATGCATTTGAGTTATGGTGATAAAGAACATTAAAAGTAACCATGAACTGCCAGAATTACAAACAAATCTGTGTTGAAAGAAGTACAGCCAGAATGCTCCTTAAAAGTTAGGATGGTGAGACTTCATCGCTCATATTTTGGACACAGTGTCCCAAGGGATGAGTCCCAGGAAGAGAACGTCATACTTGGTAAAATGAAGGATCAGTGAGAGAAAGAACGCCAACAAGATGGAGTGGCACTGTGACAGCAGCAACTGGCTAAAGCTTAGCAAAAACTGGGACTATGATGCAGGACTGGGCAGTGTTTCATTCTGAGGTACACAGGGTCACTGTCAGTTGGAATGAACTCAACAGCACGTAACAACACAACAAGTAGCATCATTTCCCCAAATAAATTAACTAAATCAAGTATCACTTTCATTCCAGTTTCACCTTTCACCATCAAAGAAAGAACAACATAGAGAGTCAGGCCCATTGTAACTGCACTACATTCCTGGTGTTGATGGTAAAGGGAATAAAAACAGCGTTAGTTTCACACTGGGGAATACAATGACCCCTACGCTAGATTCTGCTTTGGTCACATTCACCTGTAGGCAGAGTCTTCACTGCCTCTTCATACACAGCACAGCACCTCTCCTCCTTCTGGCACATCTCTGCTGCTCTGGCTTGTTTAGTTGCAGGCTGTTCTTCTCCTGCCTGGGACTGGATCTCTAATTCTCGCCGTGCCACATAATCCCAAGTGAGAGGGTCATCTGTGTGCAGCGTCTGAAGGCTGAAAAATATACTACAATGTACAAAGGACACCTCTAACAATTCATTGCCACCAGAGCCACTTCCCAACTTCTCTCAAGATGAATTTTATCAATAAGTTAGAGCGGTCACACATTTACTGAGTTTTAAGATGTTTCAGCCACCCATCACAAATGTTAACTTTTAAGTGATCAAATTGCTCAAGGTCAAATTGGAAGTTATACAGGACAAGACTGGAGCCGTAATATTCTATCCAAGCTCTTGATTTTCTACAGTAAGAGAAGCAGAGAAAAAGCACAATCTAATTATCTATAATACCGGAACTCTGAAAGTTTCCAAAGAGCAAACGGATCCAAGTTCCATTTTGTCTCCTGTGATACTCAGGTATGGAAGTAACCAAAAGGCAAGCCACAAACAAGGAAGTTTCCAAAAACTTGTGGAAAAAAAATGGAATTAAAAGTTAAGGGGATCTTTCTCCACATTGTCTGAAACCCCCTCAGAATTTCCTAACTATATAAAACTATCTGCAGCATGCAACTATAAATATCCATGAGTACAAATCATTTTATTAACAAAAGTAAACACCATGCTAAGCAAACAGAATACAGATTTTATGTGACTCTTACAATATATTTCTTACTGATTAAAAAACTGTTTTCTAAGGGAAACCAATTGAGTAAATCAGACAATTTCTGCAGAAACATATTTTTGATGTAATATGCTTTTCTTCCAAAGGATTTAACATGGTGTCTGTTTTCCTCCTCCTAAAAAATATCCAACCGAAAATCCTTAAAAAAAAAACAAACCACAAGATCAGAAATAGTGACCTTTCACAATATTACTTACTCATCATAAATTTCCTTTTGCAATTCTTTGGCAAAGTCAAACAGCTGTGCAATTGAAAGCAATGACACGTGAAATTCTGCACCTAAAATTTAACAGCAAAGGAAGGGAAGTTCAGTACCAATAAGACTCAAGAATTATGAGCATGCTTAAGGAGCCCTGATAGCGTAGTGGTTACAAGTCAGGCTACTAACCTCAAGGTCAGCTAGTTCGAAACTACCAGTGGGTTCCACAGGAGAAAGACGAGGCTTTCTGCTCCCATAAAGATTTATAGCCTCAGAAACCCTATACAGGGTCTCTATGAGTCAGAACCAACTCCACGGCACACCATCCCCCCCACCACCGTGAACATTAAATTTTTGGATCTTTAATGTCTGGTAAATAGAAAGCAAAAGTTAACACAGCCCCACCACACAACTAAGCCATTATTACTTATTTTTTTTTAATTCATACATTTTTTTTAATTCATACATGCTTCTTTATTCTAACCTTCTTATGGGTATAAGGGAATGAACTGAATCATCTTTTCAACTCTTCACAAGTTAAAGCACTAAATTAAAACTAAAGAGTTCAACTATATCCTAATGGAAAAGACACCTTTTATAAAACAAACAGGACATTACTTCTGCATTCTGAGTTTTACACATATTCTAGTGAAAAAAGTTTTAATTAGCTAAAGTCTTTCTCATTACGAATACATTTCCCTTTTCCACCACTATACTCTGCTTAGCGAAGACTGTTGTTTTTGTTATTAAAAGCTGCTGAGTAGGTTCCAACCCATAGTGACCCTGAACAGGCTTTCCTAAGAACAGTTGGTGAGCTTGAACAGCCAACCTTGCAGTTCCACATGAATTTGCAGTCCAGCGCATTAACCCACAGCGCCACACCAGTACTCCACTTACCAAAGATACCTACCTTTAATTATGCTCACAGAGTTTTTATAGATGATCCGTGCCAATTCACCACTAAGGATTTCTTCAGCATAATCAAGATTGTCCTAAAGAGTGTTACATTTAACATCACTTAACAGGCAACACCATTATCATAGAAAAAGCCCTACCATGAAAATTACCAGTCCTAAACTACCTCTTCCATGTAACCTCAAGCAAGTAATGTCTCATCTTTGGGCCTGGTTCCTCACTTGTAAAACGTGCAGCCTAACAAGATCACTGATCTTGAAACTATTCTCAGGCTTCAGAAAGGGTAAAGCATGGCTTTAAGGCCTCCCATCCCTCTGAAGGAGCTCTGGTAGCGTAGTGATTACGAATCGGGTTGCTAACCTCACAGTCAGCAATTCAAAACTACCAGCTGTTCCGTGGGAGAAAGATGAGGCTTTATGCTCCCATAAAGATGTATAGCCTCAGAAACCCTGTACAGGGTTGCTATGAGTCAGAACTGACTCCACGGCACATAACAACAACAAAAACAATATCCCTCTGAGATCAGAAAACGTCTGGTTTTATATGACTAGTATACCCTTCTATGTAGAATTTTTATTTGGAAAAAAAGGATCTGTGCCCAAAAACAACTATAACAAATGATGGTATCAATGCTCCTTTTTTAGTACCAACATTTTAAAATTTACTTGTTCTCATTCATAAAAATAAGATGTAAAAAAAAAAGGCTATGAACCACATATTTTAAAAGCTTCTTCAGCCTCCTTCAAACTATTAATGCATAATTTAGTGAAATGATAATAGTAACATAATTTAATGAAATCAAATTTACATAATTTAATGAAATGATACAGTCTTAAAAGTAACCTTTGGCCATTCCATCAGTAATAATTTTTAGGATGACGTCAATTAGTTTAAATGTCTACTTTTATAACTGGTTGGTTGGTGGTTATGTGCCGTGGAGTCGGTTCCGACTCATAGAGACTCTGTACAGGGTTTCCGAGGCTGTAAATCTTTACGGGAGCAGAAAGCCTCCTCTTTCTCCCGCGAAACAGCTGGTAGTTTCGAAATGCTGACCTTGAAGTTCACAGCCTTGAGGTTTGCAGCCCAATTTGTAAACCACTATACTACCAGAGCTACATTTTTAATCAACTCTCAACTCATTCTTTAAGTTTCACAATATAACATAAAATTGAAAGGAAAACACATTCCAAAGACTGTTTTTCTTACATCTACATAGTGGTTACAAATAGGGCTGCTAATCTCATGGTCAGCAGTTCGAAACTACCAGCTGTTCGCAGGAGAAAGATGAGGCTTTCTGCTCCCGTAAAGATTTACAGCCTCAGAAACCGTTTACAGAGTTGCTATGAGACGGAACCGACTCCACAGAACATAACAACAACAACCAGGCTCAAGATAAAACATATTGCTAATAAATGACAGTACATTAAGATCTTACCACTTCCATCTTGGCCTTTTCAAATTCTTGCTTTTCCTTCCTCAGTTTCTCAGCATGCATCAGCTCCATCCTAAAGTACTACAAAAGAGAAATGAACTGAAAATCTTCAGAGAATTCTTTTTATCAGACACATAGGTAACATAGCTTTTTAAAAAAATAACCATAAATGTTAGTCTTATTTTATTATGGAACTAGTTGACAGTGACAAGTTATGATGAAAATGATACTGTGCTCTTTTGGCAACTATTTTGAAGATATGAATCAAAAATATAAATGCAGAGTATTAGGAGACACTAAGGTCAGTTGGTGAAACCCAGTTCACAAGACAATGCTCTACACCTCCTACTTTGGTAAATAGCAACTAAAGTCTAAAAACTCTGAAGGTGCATGAACATCAGCCTTCTGCCATGACAAACTAGATGGTGCTCAGTTACCATTGCCAATTGCTCAAAATGTGATCACATTAGAAGGTCCTGAATAGAGTAGGAGAAAATTGTGGACTCAAAATCAAAATCATGCAAATGACCAGGCTTACTGGTTGGATAGAGACTGATAGAAGCCCAAGACTATGGTCTTTAGTCACCCTTCAGGTCTGAAAGTGAATTCAGCCCGCTGCTCCATTTTCAGCCAAGCAACATGCAGGTCTATAAGGGGAACATTAACACTAGGAATATACATTCCTTAGAGTAATCAACCATTTGAGATCAAAAGAGTAGCATTTAGAGTCTTGGACAAGTAGTGGAGGAACCATATGCACTAAGGCAACCCTCTGCAACAAATACATGAGAGACCAAGTAAAACATACATATGTATCTGATGACAACCAGAGCATCAGAGGAGAGGACAAAGAGGTAGACTGCATGCCAACTGGAAGAGCAAGCTGAACAGGAACAGTGAGACAGAAAAGAAAAACAGGCAGTGAGCTGGAATGGCATTGCGTGATGTGGCGCGCAGCAACGAGCTTGAACTTTATTGAGCTGTTGATACAGAGACTATTGATACAGTGACCTGTAAGCTGGAGGCTAACGGCAAGAGGGTGCAATTCTCTCTTGTTCCTATGCCCTCGCCAATCCAGTGGCTGGTAGCACCCCCTCCTGCACAGCCTCTACTCTGTCTGGAGTTGGGCACCTAGCACAGCACCCTTGCTTCTGGAGGTGTGTGAACCCACCCTGACCTGTGCTACACAAAAAGTGAACAGAGAACTAAATGCGTTCACACTCTGGTCTCTACCACATCCAGGATCCAGAAGATAGGTAGTGACTGAGTGACTAAGAATACACTAATACACAATCATCAATTAAATATTAATAATACACTACAATGTTTTGGAGAAAATACACAATTTCAGCTTACACAGAGAAACAAGATAGAGTGCCTCAAATAAGTCACCAAAATATAGTCAGAAAATTTAACACCAAAAATGGTGTCGGAGCCACCTTTTAATAAGGAATTTAAAAGAATATTAATCAAGCAACTTCAGTGAACTATGAGAAAGATCATCAAGGAAACTACAGACAACATCAAGGAAAACATACATAGACAAAACTATGAGAAAAATACAGGAAGCAAAGCTGGCAAAATAATTGCAAAAACAGGAACCATACAGGACAGCAATTAGAAAGCCAGAAGATTTAATGCTAAGGTTTCATAAGAAGGTAATACATTGATAAGAAGAATAAAGTACGTGTGTGTGATAGGTAATTACAGAACAGGAAGACAAAAGATCCACAGAGAATGTTGTTCAAGAGTTGCTGAAAGAAAACTTCCCAAACATTATTAAAGATAAGAAGATAGCCATTCAAGAAGTTGAATGAACTCCAAATAAGATAGACTCCAAAAGAAAGACACCAAGATATATTATAGTCAGATTTTTCAAGACCAATGATAAGAAAGAATTCTGACAACAGTGCAGATAAAACAAAAGTTGCCTACAAAGCAGAACTAGTAAAACTAAACCCTTGATTTCCCAGCAGAAACTATGCAGACAAGAAAACAATGGAGTGATATATATAAAGCAATGTGGGGGGAGACTGAGAACCAAGAATCATTTATCAAGCAAAACTGTGCATCAAATATGATGGCAAAATTAAGTCATTTCAGACAAACAGAAATTAAAAGAATTTGTAAAAACCAGGTCAATAAAAGAAAACTAAAGGGAATTCTTTGGACAGAGACCAAAAACAGCAGACAACAATCTGAGACTAACATATGACAATATAGCCTAGACTCCATCCAGATATAGATGTTTACAAAGCAAAAAAGAGCTGTAAGACTGAAAATATAGAATTAGAGATAGGTTGCAATAAAACATAAAGATAAAAGGGAATAATGTAGTTACAGAACTTACTAATGAATAGGAAATCAAATAGATACCAAGAAAAACATATAAATACACCTAACTGAAATCCTAAGAACTAGACTAAGCCTTACTCCAGGCAATCATCAGCCCTAACACTAAGTCTAGTTCTAACCACAACCCTAACAATAAACAAAGTCCTAGGCCTAGTCTGTCCGTTTGTCATACTGTGGTGGCTTGTGTATTGTGTGATTCCAGAAGCTATGCTATCAGTAGTTTAAATACCAGCAGAGTCACCCATGATGGACAAGTTTCAGCTGAGCTTCCAGAATAAGACAGACGAGGAAGAAGGAGAAATGGACTACTTCAGAATATTTCATCAGAGAAAACCTTATGAGTAGCAGTGGAACACTGCAACACCAAAATACTGAATACTGAAATACAAATAAAGAGCACACGAATATTGTCATATATAGTTCCGGAAGATGAGTCCCTCAGGTTGGAATGCACTCAAAATACAACTAGGGAAGAGCTACCTCCCCAAAGTAGAATTGACTATGATAAGGCAAAAGGAGTAAAGCCCTCAGGACCCTCATCGGAGATGGGACACAACTCAAAATGAAGAGAAACAGTATTAATAGCCATTAATAATCGGAACATGGATGGAAGTATGAAACTAGGAAAATTGGAAGCTGTCAAAAATGAAAAAAGATGCATAAACATCAATATCATAGGCACTGTTGTTGTTGTTGTTAAGTGTCGAGTCGGGTTCCGACCCATAGCGCCCCTGCATAGGGTTTCTAAGGACTGACTGGTGAGCTTGAACCACCGACCTTGCAGTTCAAACGGTTTTGCAGTCTGGCACATTAACCGACAGTGCCACACTTGTACACCATCATAGGCATTAGTGAGCTAAAATTGACTGGTATTGGCCATTTTGCATCTGACAATCACATGGTTTACTATGCCAGGAATGTCAACCTGAAGAGGAATGGTGTCACAGTCCTCATCAAAAAGAACATATCAAGATTTGTCTTGAAGTACAACACTGTGATAGGATAATAAATATCCATACAAAGAAGACCAGATATTACCACTATTATTCAAATTTACACACCAACCATTAAAGCCAGTGATGATGAAATTAAATAATTCTACCAACTTCTTCAGTCTGAAATTGATCACACATGCAATCAAGATGTATTAATAACTACTGGCAATTGGTTGGAAAATATGACCTTGGTGATAGAAATGATGCTGGAAATCGCATGATAGAATGTTGCAAGACCAATGACTTTGTAATTGTAAATACCTTTTTTAAACAAGATAAAAGACAACTATACATACACATGGACCTTACCAGGTGGAGTACACAGAAATCAAATTGACTACATCTGTGGAAAGAGACAGTAGAAAAATTCCCTATCAACAGCCAAAACAAAAGCTAGGGACAGACTGCAGAACAGACCATCAGTTGTTCATATGCAAGTTCAAGCTCAAGCTCAAGAAAATGAAAACAAATCCACAAGAGCAAAAACATGACCCTGAATATATCCCATGTGACCTTAGAGATCATCTGGAGAACAGATTTGATGCATCAGACACTAAAGACTGAAGACAGAAGAGTTGTGGAATGACATCAAGAACATCATACAGGGGAAAAGCAAAAGATCATTAAGACAAAAAAAGAAGGAAAAGACCAAATGGATGTCAGAAGACTCTGAAATGTGCCCTCCAGCATAGAGATGATAAGCCAAATGGAAGGAATGAGGAGGTAAAAGAGCTAAATGGAACATTTCAAATGTCAGCCTGAGAAGACAAAGTTAGTGACTGTACCAAAAAGAAATAGTCAAGAGGTAGCATATAATCAAGAGCCAATGATCCTGAAGAAAGAAAACCAAGGTGCACTGAAGGCACTGGCAAAGAACGAGGATCTGAAAATTGATGGACTGCATATTGAAATCTTCCAACAAACTGATGTAGCAATGGATACACTCACTCATCTATGCCAAGAAATCTGTAGGACAACTACTTGGTCAACTGACTGGAAGTGATCCATATTTATGCCCATTCAAGAGTGAGGTGACCTAACAGAATGTGGAAATCATCAGACATTATCATTAATATCACATGCAAGTGACAGTACCCATTTGACCGAGCTTGGGTAGCTTGCTGATCAGAACTTGACCAGATGAAGATAAACAAGTCTGATACAGAAAGCAAGTGTAAATTGCTACAATTTTGTAAACTGTACCTTTTCTTATGGATGTAGTTGCTCAAAACTCCAACAGAATGAGAAGGATGTTTACCTGTGCTTTACTGACTACGCAAAGGCTTTCAATTGTGCGGATCACGACAAGCTATGGACAACATTGCAAAAAACGAGTATTCTGGAACACTTAACAGTACTCATGAGGAATCTGTACATAGGCCAAGAGCCAGTTGTGCAAACAAAACAAGGGAACACCAAATGGTTTAAAATTAGGAAAGGTGTGCTCCAGGATTGTATTCTTTCACTATACTCATTCAATCTGTATGCTGAGCAAATAACTCAAGAAACTGGATTATATGAAGAAAAACATAGCCTCACGATTGGCAGAAGATTCATTAACAACTTGTGATATGCAGATGATACAATCTTGCTTGCTGAAAGCAAAGAGGACTTACTGATGCAGATCAAAGACCAGAGCCTTTGGAATGGGTTACACCTCAATGTGAAGAATACTAAAATCCTGACCACTGGATCAATAAATATCCATATAAATGGAGAAAAGATTGAAGTTGTCAAAGACATCATTATGCTCAATCATCAATACTCATTGAAGCAGTAGTTAAGAAATCAAAGGACATACTGCATCAGACAAATCTGCTGCACACAACTGTTTAAAGTGTTGAAGAATAAAGATGTCAGTTTGAGGACTAAAGTGCGCCTGATCCAAACCATAGTATTTTCAATAGCCTCATATGCATGTGAAATTTGGACAATTGAATAAGGAAGACCAAGAGTAATGTATTTGAGTCACAGTCTTGGAAGAGAACATTAAAAGTACCATGGACTGCCAAAAGAGCAAAACTATCTGTGTTGGAAGAAGCATATCCAGAATGCTCCTTGGAAGCCAGGACGGCCAGACTTCATCTCTTATACGTCATACATATTATCAGCAAGTACTAGTCCCTAGAGAAGGATATTATGTTGGGTGAAATTGTGGGTCGGAGAAAAAGAGGGGGACAGCTAGCAATATGGACTGGCGTAGTGGCAGCAGCAATGGACTCAAATGTAGCCACGATGATGAGGTTGGCACAGGATCAGGCAATGTTTCGTTCTGTTGTGCAGAGGGTCACTATGAGTGGTACCAACTCAATGGCACTGAACAACAACAGGCCTAGTCTAGACTTAGCCATGGTCCCAACCCAACACTCATTCCTTATTCCTATCCAATCTTCCATCCCCAAAAATGGGGCAGCACATACCCAAGGACAAAGTTCAGAAGGGTTAAGAAAGAAGGAAAAATGGAAACAGGAAACATAGGGAGGAAGTGAAATTAATGATGCTTCATTGTGGGGACTGCAACCAATGAGCTGAAACAAAATATGTATGAAATGTTTCATGGGGACCTGATTTGCTCTGTAAACTTTCACCCAATTCAAAAAAAGATTTTAAAAAAAGTAAAAATTTAGAAAGTAGCTGCTGAGTCTAATTAAGTACAAACAAATACTTCATGAGATTTGGTTCCTTGGTTTGGTGGTTTAGGGTAATGGCTCTGTGGGGCACCTCAATTAATTGGCCTAATAACATGTTTAATAACATGCTTCTGTTCTACCTGCAAGTTCACTACATAGCCTGGGGTCTTAAAGTTTTCAAGCAGTAATCCAAGGTACAATAATTGGATTCTATTCACCTGGAGCAATAGAGTAAGGAAAGTTAAAAATGCCCTGAGACCAGAAGAACTGGATGGTGCCTGGAAACCACTAATGAAGATTTTGATCAAAGTTTATATTGACGAATTCTGATCAAAAGGGTTAAAGTACAAATTAGAATTTCAAATTCTCATGGAATCCATACTTCTGGCACCATGAAAGCTGGATGAACTCCTGAAGCAGGGGATGGATTCCCCTGCTGCACATTGTTGTTGTTGTTGTTACCTTCCGTCAAGTCAGTTCCAACCCATAGCGACCCTGTATAGGGTTTCTGAGGCTATAAATCTTTACAGGAGCAGAAAGCCTCATCTTTCTCCCGTGGAAGCGCTGGCAGTTTCGAACTACTGACCTTGAGGTTAGCAGCCCGATTTGTAACCACTACGCTACCACAGCTCCTTCTCCTGCACACTGTTGTTGTTGTTAAGTGCTGTCGAGTTGGTTCCATCCCATAGCAACCCTGTATAGGGTTTCCGAGGAGCAGCTGGTGAGCTTGAAGTACCGACCTTGCAGTTCAAACGGCTTTACAGTCTGGCGCATTAACCCACAGCGTCACCCCAGGACTCCTCTGCTGCATATTAGAGGTTATCAAAATGTGGTCTAGGTATATCTAGGGATTTCTGACACCCTTTCAAGGGGTTTGCAAGACTAACATGTTATTCATGATACATTATTTTTTTAAATGAATTAATACATAAACTTGAACTCTGTTTTTAACTTACAAGTTGGGCTGCTAACCACCAGGTCAACAGTTCAAATCCACTAGCTGTTCTGTGGAAGAAACATGAAGCTTTCTGCTCCTATGAAGACTTACAGCCTTGGAAACCCTATACATGGCCACCACGAGTCAGAACCAATTCCACGGCACACCACTGCCACCGCCACCACCACAATAAAAATTAATAGACATAACCCATATAAACAAAAGGTCTTTAGTGTCTAAGTAATATTTAAGATCAGAAAGTGTGAATACCACTGATATAAATCAATATTTACTAACATGCAACTACCCAAACCAAAGACCCACAGCCACTGAGTCGATTTCAACTCATTAGTGATCTTATGTGGGTTTCCAAGATAATTCTTAACAGGAGCAGAAAGCCTTCTCATTCTCGCATGGAGGGGCTGGTGGATTCAAACGAACTTTGGAGTCAGCAGCCCCAGGCATACCTGCGTATACCACTAGGGCTCCTTCATGGTACATAGAAAAGGGCAGAGCACAAGAATATGTAAAACAATGCCATCTAAAAGAAATTAAATCTATGCTGTATGCATTCAAAACACAGGTGAAAAGTCTCTAAGTACCTTTTCTGTTGTTTTCTTTATATTATAGTGGTACTCTTTATTATATTTTGGTAAGAATAGGCAACAAATTTATTTCTATTTTAGAAAATACAATTATGGGCATTAAGAGCCTAAAAAAGCATATAAAAAATGACACTAAACTATAACCCTCCAACAGCAGGATAATTATTTTACAGTAGTTTCTCAGCAAAAGCAATGAAAGCAGTAAGAGGACATCTAGCAGATTATAAGAAAAGGAAAGAAATACAAGGCTACAGTACAAAAACACCAGTAATTATTATAAAATCAAAAATACAGACAGGACCTCTATAAAACCTAGCAGCATAAAATCTCTGTCTATTGCCTCTCCTTACATAATTTTCATTTGAGGACTAAGCAGCAACTTCTCTCTTAACCTGAAAAATGCTTTAGAAAAGGGTACAGTTTTCAAAAACACATCATTATTAGCATCTGTTTTTCTCTCAAGAGTTAGGTCATCAATTCTTTAAAGGCCCCCTCCCTCCAAGAAGGAATACATTCTCCGTGTGAGTTAGAAAGTACTGACAAAATACCTCTCTCAAGAAAAAGAGACGAAAGTGAAACAAAGAGACATCAAAGGAAAAGGCAAAGAGAATGATTAAAAAAAAAAAAAAGATAAAGATGGCTGAACTCTGCCTTCCCTTCTAAATAATAGCAAGCTTCAGTCCTATTTCTTACAAACCTAGTTAAGTGCCAATGAAGTCAGTTCCGAGTCATAGCCATCCTGATAAGAATTTCTGAGGAGCAGCTGGTAAGTTTGAACCTCCAACTTGCAGTTCAAACCAACTTAGTGAACCAGTGCTTATCCTACAGTGCCACATGGAAATTCCAACCTCTAACAACCCAGAAGCTGTACTATCAACACTTATCACTGGCCAAAAATATAAAGACGTTTCTCCTCATCCTTCTGGTCCCTTTCCCCCAAAAAAACTTCCCTACACACTTATCCCTACCTCCATAAACTTCTACTTGGCAAACTTAATAAAGGATATCCGAGGGGTTTAAGAAGTTCGTGGAAAAACGGAATGAAAAGATAATGGAACATCCCCAGAGCCTCAAACTGAGAGACGCATCACTCATCCTATGCACACACATACTCACTTCTTGATAAAGTTTTGGACACTCCGGATGAAAGCGGAGGGCTCGCAGAAACAACTGTCTTGCACTTTCTGAAGATAAGCGATCTTCCATTTCCCATTTGGCTGCCATAATCCACAAAGCTGTAAGTGGAAAAAAATCAACAGACTTTATTTCAATCAATATAATTTAGCTAACCAAAAGAGAGCAACATTCCAATTTTAATACTCAAAATAATTTCTTTAAAGGTTTTACCAAAATAAGGGGATGCAGAAAAAAGGGTTTCTAATGACCATCAAGTTTTGCTACTTTAAAATTAGAAAAAACATGCTGATGTAAATAGGTAAATGTTCTTTCTGTTCAGTCTAGATGAGGGGTATATAATCAACCATCAAATCCAGTGCCATCGAGTTAATTCCAACTCAGGGATACTGTAGGACAAAGTACAACTGATCCTTAAAGTTTCCAATCTTGACAAGAACTGACAGCTTCAGTTTTTCCCTCAAGGAGTTGCTGGTGGATCTAAACACAATGCTTAGCCCACAGCACCACCAGGGCTCCTGATGGGTATATTACTGTTAATTGCCTACGAGTCAGTTCCAACTCACAGTGATCCTGTAGAGGATTTCCAAGGAGTGACTAGTGGGTTTGAACTGCCAACTTGCGGTTAGCAGTCCAGTGCTTATCCTGCAGAGCCACACCAGTACTGCCCTGATGGGTACATGTTGTTGTTGTTGTTGTTGTTAAGTGCCATTGAGTCGGGTCCGACCCATAGCGACCCTGTACAGGGTTTCCGAGGGTGTAAATCTTTACGGGAGTAGAAAGCCTCATCTTTCTCCCGCGGAGCGGCTGGTAGTTTCGAACCGCTGACCCTAAGGTTCGCAGCCCGATTCGTAACCACTACGCTACCAGAGCTCCTTGATGGGTACATGTTGTTGTTGTTGTTGTTAAGTGCCATCGAGTCGGGTCCGACCCATAGCGACCCTGTACAGGGTTTCCGAGGGTGTACATAGTACCTGTTAATATATTTCATCAAAGCTAAAAGCACAAGCATTTTAAGTCACATACAAATTTTAAAGCTGTGAAAATGCCAAAAAAAATATGTCTTAGAATCAATGAAATTAATTTTTCCTTTCTATTTTCAAGTTCTAGTTCTTCTCTCTTTTCTCTATGTATTTAAAATAGTTCATAATTTTTAAGTTAAATTTTCAATTGTTATCTGCTAGAAATAAAGCCTTAAAAACAAAACCTTTGTCTCTCTACATGGGAACTCAACATTAAATAAATTCTAGTAATTTCCCAAGACATTTAATAAAGGTCAGATATGTTACTAGGCAAAACTGCTTATTAAGGTAAAAATGGCCCATGGTTGATGCTAGCATCTGGACCGCGTGGGCCATGAATGATAGAACCAGTGCTTTGGGCTTTCTTGAGCACATGACTCCTGACACTTGAGCATGGCTCTTTCTAGGATCCCAGGAAGCTATGCCCATCCATGGGCTTCTAAGCCATGGATGGCGTCCCCATCATTCAGGTTTTGTCCCCTCACACCTAAAGACTAGTTCCCAGACTGCTAAGAGGAGTCCAGTGAGGCACACCTGATGTTGGTCTGCTGAACCCTTCTGAGTAAACTGGGATCAACATCACCTACTGAATCTTGTGTAGTAAGTAATGTCTGGTTGAGATATTCACACCCTGAGAATCAGCACTGCATCGCCACTGTAATGTGCTATTCAGACACAATTAACAAGTCTTTCCCTTATAAAACACAAGTACCTACTCTATACCCAAAGAGATACTGTTCTAAAATCTGTTATCAGTAATTTCTCCTTTGAGTTTCTGAAATCGCTGATTCTGCCTGCCTCCAATGAGAAAGTGCCTCAAAACAGCATTCTGTCTTATCATCAACTACAAAGAAACACCATCCTTCTTGTCCACAGACAGACCTGACACCATAACTGGTGTATATCCGGCAGGAGTGAACAAAGAAAAAGATAATCAAAAATAAAAATTGTGTAAGCCTAAGCTCATGTCCGCAAAACCATTTCTATTAGGTTTATAAAATAAAATAAAGCCCAAAATGCTTAACTCTAACTAAAGCGTTCATGGGGGGGAAAAAAAAAAAATTCACCATACCTGGCTTGTTTGAATGAATAGCCAACATGGCAGAGAATACCTTGCTAAGTTGAACTTTGGTAGCCTGTAAAAGAGGAAGAAAATGTTCTATTTCCTGCACAGTGAAATCACTGCTATTAATTTCTAACTGTGCCCTCACCAACTGTAAAATCCAATGGAATAAAGAGTTGTTATTCCTAGGCATGTAGCAACAAATACAAACACAATGACTGTTTTTGGACATCTAACCTGCTAAACATAACTATTATAACTATAACTCAATTTTACTGAACATATATACGTAAACATCGTTTTCTTTGCAACTGATATAGAACTCATTTATAAAAACAGTAACTCAGATATATACAAATGCTATTACACTGAAGCTCAGTCTTCCTTGAATTTTTTTTGTCTTTATAACACTGGAGAAAACTTGGAGCTCAGTAATCAAGCACAAAGCTTAAAAGGCAGACTAAAAAGAAAAAATGGAAAAGGGAGCTAGACATGCCTCCTTAATACTCACCCATTTCTTACAAAAGACTACATAAGACAGCCAAAGTTGAACATCATCCTGCAAGGAAAGCAACGCAGTAAGCGACCTGAATTTCATCTTGACATGTAATACAGCTTTGCAATGACAAATTTTGTGAAAAACAACAGATCTATTAAGCTCTTCCGGAGTCCTCAGATCTCTCAGTCATAGTAACAGAGTCCATTCCCCTACATCCTCCCACCACACTCAAAGACACACATCCAATTTACTCACCAAAGCTCTCCATGGTCTCAATGAAACATAAAAATACAAAATGTTCTATTCCCAGGAATCTAAAGTACATATAAACGTTTCATAGAATAGGACCAGCCCCAGAGCCAAACCTGAACAGAATCAAGTTACTGAGGCACTTCGTCTGCTCTGACCATTTATTTCACACTCCCAAATTGCAAAACTCTCCTACTTTTCCATATACTTAGAAACGTATCCAAACACCTCCCAATTTTCTGATCGTCAGTTATGTATCAAAGACCTGTCTACAGCAACCATCTTCACAGAATAATTATAAGGCAGTGAGACTGACTTCCTTAGTGGCCTGTTCAATGGCTCAAAAAAACGGTTTAAGTAATGATATACCATCACTAGGATAAGAACTAAGATGCCCACGGTAAGAATACAGAACAATGCATTTGGATGCCTAAGTCACATTTTATACGCATCGTGTCATCTCTTACAGTAAAGGATGCTCTGAGCACTTACTTTCCATTTTGCTGAAGCACGTCGGAAGACGCCTTGTACTCGTCGTACGATAGAGTTCTCAATTTCATCCTTCTTAAATGAATACCTAATGCGCTACAAAGGGACACAAAAAAACCAAAGCCTCAGTTTAATCACAAGTATCCAAAGCAGCATTCCCGCTTCACCATTAAACAATACTGATGGGGGTAGGAAGTAACTCTCAACAGTCTTTATAAGTGTGACACCACACAACTGATTAAGGCCAACTCCTCCCAAACCTAGTTCCTACTATAGAGCCACAATGCTTGCTTCTGGGTTTTTCCCAATTTCCAGAAAACCATCTACTTACTGTTCTTCTTCTCTGAATCAGCTCCAAAAGATTAATTTCATACTACAGATTAAAAAAACATACAATTAAAGAAAGATAAAAAACTATTATAACTTTTTTAAATGCAGAAAACATTGAAAATCACAAAATAACATAAAGTAGAAAAGTTTGCTATCAAGATGAGTAACTTATAGTAAATATCTACCATTCACTGATAGTTCACCTTGTATTTGTAAAGTTTATACACACAGACAATAAAAATTAAAATAAAAGCCTACTGCCATCTAGTTGATTTCAACTCCTGCTCATAAACTCTTTTTTAAAAAGTTGCCATGCGCTTTCTCAGAAGGTTGGAAATAGAAATACCTTATGATCCAGCAATTCCTCTACTTCGTATTTACCCACAAGAAATACAAGCCATATCACGAGTAGGTATTTGCACACCAACGTTCATAGCAGCGCTATTTACAATAGCAAAAAGATAGAGACAGACTAAGTGCCCATCAACTGAAGAATGGCTAAACAAACTGTGGTACATACAAACAATGGAATATTATGCTACTTTAAAGAACAAGGAAGCTGCAAACCAACACATAACATGGATGAATCTTGAGGACATTATGTTGAGTGAAATTAGTCACAAAAGGAGAAATACTGCACAGGATCCCTACTGTAAAAGACTAAGAAAAAGAAACTAAGGGAGGAGGGGGAGGAATTCTTTACTGGTTACTGGGATGGGGGGGGCGGTGAGGGGAGAGAAGGGAAGGTAGAACACAGGGCAGGGAAGAGACACAGGATAATTTGGGTGCTAGGAAGAGGGGCAATACAAAAGAAGGGGGAGGACAATGGAAGAACAAAGCAGCCAGGAAAACAATTAGGCAGGTTTACATGGGCTAAGTGGAACAACAGGGCTCTGGGATACAGGGATTGAGACATGGTTGGAAGGGGCAAAAGGGGGAAATAATGTTAAGATGCTTGGCTGTCTTTTGAATCTTGGTTTCCCTGGCATACCATTATAAAATAGACACCTAAGGAGGAGAGAAAGGAATAGCCAGAAACATCACTATAGAAAGCTTGTAAGTCCATCTTCTGCCCATAACTGTTTGGAATACCTAAAATGGGGCTACAATGTGCCCAGTGAAGGAGGCTTCCTATGGAGCCTTTGCATTACATAAGACCATAGGTGGAATCCTGAACCCCATCCAGAATCTTCTGAGGTAGGAAATTTCCACTTAAAGGACAAGCAGACCAGCCTGGAGCAACTAGAAGAACAGAAAATACTTCTTGAAAGAAAGACTTACAGGAAAAATACAAAACAATAAAGGTAGTCCAACTGATTACTACAGGAACAAGCAAGTTGCTCTCCCAGAAGACATCAAGGCAAGTGGTCGGGTCACCTCAGGGCAAACCCCCTCTAAAAGTAAGACTCAATGGGAATACACACTCTGAATTGGTGACCACATTCATCACCAATAAGGGGAAGTGAGGGAAAAACAGCAATAAAGCTGCAAGCTAAGCCCTACAACATTCAATGACTCCTGTGAACCCGGGTGGAGACCTGGTTGGCCAGCAGTGTGGCAAGACCTGGGAACTCCTGGGCCCAGAGTCAGTGACACAGCCACAGAGGACTAGAGTGGAGAGTGAAGCATCCAGCTGATAAGAAGAGAGGACATATGCACAAGAACACCCACACTTGCAGATAATACCCACTTAACCTGGCTTCAATGATTGGAAGACCAGAGCTCAACTAGAAGAGGAGGAAAAAGTAATCTGATACAATTTGATGAACTTGACCTATACCTATGGATGCAGTAACTCAAAAGAGGGAACAAATCTTCACACCGTGGATCATTCCCACCTCCTCCATACACAGAGTAGACAGGGATGGGCAACTTGGACATTGGCTACCCAAAATGGAGGGGCTACAAAAGCAAGAATTGACTGGTTTACAAGCTTTCAAGAGGTAGCCTAGATCCAGAGGGTACAGAGGAAGGTAGAATCTCCACTGAGTAGTATCCAATCTGGCTGGGCGGAGCTGATGAAAGGAGATGTGGATAGGTCTCTTGTGATACAATAGTAAATAATTGTTATCAGGACTGACTGTGAGGGTTGGAAATGTAAAGGTAGATGCTTTGTAGCAAAAGGAGGGGAGTGATTGACTTTGCAGTCTAGGAGCAAAGGTCCCTGGGGCCATCAAGGGAGAAGAGTGGAGAGCGGGACCCTACCCAGAGAAGCCATGATGCCAGAGATGGAGACTGTGACAATGATGTGGGGAGATGGAGCGGCTGGGGACTCTAGACCCAGAGAGAGGCTAAGTGCTGAAGACTAGGGGCAGAGCAGGCTTGCAGGGACTACCCTTTGGTTGGTTGAGGATGCATGGAAGGGATTGTAACCATGGCAATAAAATGATATATGATAGGATGAATGTAAAGCTAACGTTCTCTCATGTAAGCTATCATATTATTCACAATGAAACATTTTTTAAAAAGTTGCCATGATACCAAAATCTTTGGGACACGGAGAAACTGACAGGATAATTTATTGCTATAAATGCACACATCCAAAAAGAAGAAAAGAATCAAAATTAACATATTAACACAGCATTTACAACATTCAGAAACAGACCAACAGAGGGAATCTACAGCCACCAAAAGAAAAGAAATAATGAAGAGTTGTTGTTGTTGTTGTTGTTAAGTGCCATCGAGTCGGTTCCGACCCATAGCGACCCTGTACAGGGTTTCCAAGGGTGTAAATCTTTACGGGAGTAGAAAGCCTCATCTTTCTAATGAAGAGTAGAGCTGAAATAAATGAAATCGAAAACAGAAAAACTATAGAAAGAATCAACAGGACAAGAAGCTGGTTCTTTGAAAGGATTAACAAAATTGACAGACCACTGGCACACCTAACAAAAGACAAGAAGACACAAACAAGCATTAAAACCACATGGGCAATGTCACAATGGAACCAAAGGAAATCAAAAGGATAGTAACAGAATACTATGCAAAGTTGTACTCCCAACAAATTTGAAAAGTTAGAAGAGATGGATATATTTTTAGAAACTTACACAGAGTGAAGTAGAAAACCTGAATAGATCCATAACAAAAGAAGAAACTGATCAGGTCATTAAGAAAAGTTACCATGAAATAGATTCTGAACTGTGCTAAAGTTTTTTATGGCTAATTTTTCAGGAGTAGATATACCAGACCTTTACTTCCTCAGAAGATAAGAGTAGATTGAACTTTCAGCCTTTTTGGTTAGTAGTCAAGCCGGTTAACTATGCCACCAAGGGACCCATATGACTTTAAACATTAAAAAAAATTTGTTTTTTTTTACTAAAACCGTTTAAGAGCTAGAACACACCAAAAATAAACACTGTAATCAAGTCAATTCTGACTCATAGAGACCCTATGTACTTTCCGAGACTGTAAATCTTTATAGGAGCTGACAGCCTCATCTTCTACTAAGGAGCAGATGGTAGATTTGAACTACAGGCCTTGAAGTTTGCAGTTTAATGCCTAACCACAATGCCACTAGGGCTCCTTACAAGACTATGATGGTGGTGGCTGCTATATGCCATGGAGTCGGTTCTGACTCACAGCAACCCAGTACAGGGTTTCAGAGGCTGTATATCTTTATGAGAGCAGAAAGTCTCATTTTTCTCCCATGGTGCAGCTGGTGGACTGGAACTGCTCACCTTAGGACCAGCAGCCCAGCTCTGAACCCGCTAATCTACCAGGGCTCTTTATAAGTACTACAGTATCAATTAATCTAATTTTCCAAACAATTTTGTTAGGTCATCGAGTCAGTTCCAACTCATAGCGACCCTGTACAGGGTTTCGAAAGAGCAGCTCATGGGTTTGAACTGCCAACCTTGTGGTTCGCAGTTCAGTGCTGATCCTAAGCACCACACCAGGATCTGTAGACTACTAATTAATGTAACTTCCCAAACAATGTTGTTATTATCTGCTATCGAGTCAGTTCTGGCTCATGTTGTTGTTGTAAAGTGCTGTCAAGTTGGTTCCAACCCATAGCGATCCTGTATAGAGTTTCCGAGAGCAGCTGGTGAGCTTGAACCGCTACCCTTGCAGTTCAAACGGCTTTGCAGTCTGGCGCATTAACCCACAGCGCCACACCAGGACTCCATGTTGCTGTTGTTGTTAAGTGCTGTCGAGTCGATTCTGAACCATATCGACTCCTTCACAGTCTTGTCTAAGAGCACATTCATTCATACTTTTAGTTTAAAAAAATCACCTCTCAAAATCTTAGCTGATGCATCTATCAACAAATAATGCAGATAAGAACTGGCTGAAACAGGATGGCAAGCCTGAGTGGCTCTCCCAGCCAAGACCCTCTGAAGTACTACCTGGAACCCCTAAGGCTCTCTAAGACCAGTGCTATCTGTTTCTATGCTTCTGCTTGAAAACTATTAGACACAGAAAGCTCAAGATCTGGCAAGTCTGGCTGCTTCATTTCAATCTGTTTATGAAATGTTTTAGGTACACAGAGCACCATGCACCTACCACACAATTATACCAAAGCCCACATTTTACTATTTATTTGACTGAAATTTTTAGAAGTAAAACATTTTAGAAAAAGTGAATACTCTATGCACCTATTTCTGATTCTATTCCTCCGTCAAATTCTATACCCACTACTACCACTGCTACGCAAGCTCCATAAGGCAATGACTTTTGTCTGCTTAATTTACTGCTGCATCCCCACACCTATACCGTACGATATACACAGTAAGCACTCAATATTTACTGTATGGTTGTGTGTGTGGATGAATATGTAGTTAAGTAAGATAGAGTGTGTGTGTTTTAAAACTACTTATCCATTTCAGTTCTGCTCCCTAAAATGAAACAAAACAATTTAACCCACAATATTTACCATATGCATAAAATTGCTAGGTCATAGAACATATTCATTTTCAACATTGAGATGCTATCAAACTGCTCTCTTAAGTGGTTGAAGCAATTATACTACCACCAACAGTTATGAATTCCACGATCCAAAAATCTTTATATAATGTCAGTCTTTAAAATGTTTCCCAATAAGATAGATATAAAGTCACACTACACTTAGGGGAACAACACTAGTATGGTAGGCTCACCATGGAATGGTCAACCATTCCAGAGCAAAAGAGCAACATTTACCTAAGGACAAAGTTCAGAAGGACTGGGAAGGAGAGCGGAAGGGAAATCAGAACCACAGGGGAAAAGTGGGGAAACTATTAGTACATGGAGGTATTGCAATCACTGAAATGAAACAAAGTATAGAATTTGTTAAATGTAAAATTGATGATCTGCTTTGTAAATTTTCGGTCAATTAAAAAAAAAAAAAGTGGTACTGCACTCTGATTTATATCTTATTACTAATGAGGTTGATAAGGAGTCCGTATGAGCTGGGCTGCCAACTGCAAAATCATCAATTCAAATATGCCAGTCTCTCCATGAAAGATGAGGCTCTGAGTTCCTGTAAACATTTACAGCCTCAGAAACCTTATACAGGGTTGCTATGCGTGGGAACTGACTCAGTCACACACAGTCACCATGACCTACGATGTTGACATTTTTTTCAAGAAGTACAACTGTAAATTATTTTTTGTGTGTGAATGGTATACCCTCATGATTTGTCCATTTTTGTCCTTATCTTTTTGATTTGTATTTTATATAAATATAAATCTTAACTATACAAGAGGACTTCAAAAAGTTCATGAAAAAATGGAATTTTCTGAAGCCCCCTCTTGTGTAGCAAATATCTTCTCCTACCTGTGGCTTGTCTTTTCACATTACTTAGTGTTTTATTTTAGACAAAAATGTTTACTTTTAATATTGTTTAATCAGTCTATCTTTTCTTCTGTGATTTGTTCTAGACTCACTTATTTTAAAAATCATTTAAAGAATTTTTCCCTACCTAAAGTCATTCCTCCATATTTTTCTGGACGTTTTCATTTCCCGCTACATTTAGATCTTCAAAAATTTATTTTTGTTCATTATATGAGGAAAGGATCTAATTTTGTAGATTATCTGTAAATTACCTTAGTGATTTAAAAGGACACGCTGATTTATATGGTTACATGAGCCAGGGATGTATACAAAAGCAGAAACGAGTATGTGTGTGTTTTAAATTTATATTTCAGTGCTGCTCTGTAAAACAAATCAACGAACACATAGGCAGCTCTTCAAATATTTGACAAGTAAAGTCTTTTCAAGGTTAAATACCTCTATTTCCTGCAATAATTCCTCCCAGAATAAGATTTCTATCTGGCTATCTTCTAATCTTTCAATATCCTTCTTAAAATTTAATCTTAAACCTAACACAATGCTTTTGACATGTGTTAAGTATAAACACTCTTTTTAAAGCCAACATTTTTCTGAATGTCTACTGTTTGAAATGTCCCCTACAAACAATTCACTTTTGTTAATGCAGATAACTGTATTACAATTTTAACATTGCATGTTCTTCGTTTATTTTGAGTTAGGTTAGGAATTAACTTCTAATTTTGGCATTTCTTCTAAAAACACTGACTCATCACCAAATCTCATATACAATTTTATTTGGTTGTGTGTGTGTATTTTTGTTTCTGTAATCTAAGCTCAGAACCTTATTACTGGGCTCTTTCTGAATCCTAATGCTGTCATCTAATTTACTATTATTTTCCTCATCTGAAAACTGATGTGGCAGGTATGTTCGTCTTTACTCAAAATCTTCCAACATAGGATGCAGAATTTCTGCAATATGTTTCTTCCAGCCTGATAGATTTAATCACATAGTGTTAACTTTTCAATCATCTACTACCATCAAACTCCTGTATCTTGTTCCATAAGAGGCTGTTTATAAAATCCTTGCTGAAATGCTGACACAGGAGGAGCCTTCAAAAAGTTCACGGAAAAATCTAATTAAAAGCTAAAGGCATTTTACCTTGAAAATCATCATCAGTGGCAGAGACAGAGCAGCTGCAGGTTCTAGGCCCATAGACTGAGTAAGACTGTGTGTGTCTGTGGATAGGAGGCTGGCTTGCAGAGCCCTTTGGACAGTCAAATGAATATATATTTGTTCTGTTTTGTATGTGCACATCAAATATTTTTGCTTTGTTCATTTGTGAAATATATGATATAAAAGGGGAGAAGAAGTAGGGTAACTGTTGTTGCAGGGAGGGGATGATAGTCACTGAGATGAAATAGAGCAAATAACTTGCTGAATTTAAAACTGATGATCTTGTCTATTAACTTTCAGTCAATTCACAATACAAAGTTAAAAAAAAAAGATAATGCAGTTTTCCACAAAGTTTTTGAAGCTTGCTTACACTATCTCTGATCTAGTAAGTCAATAGAAAAAAAAAAAGGAAATTCAGTTTGTCAAGGAGGCCTGGTGTGGCACTATGGGTTAATGCACTAGAATGCCAAGCCAGTTTGAACCGGAAGGACGGCGGTTCAAGCTCACAAGCTGCTCGTCGGAAACCCTATATAGAGTAGGGACCAACTCCACAGCACTTAACAGCAACAACAAAGCCTTAGTAGAGCAATGTTATTTCCAACAATTACTTCTACTTCCTATCTGTTCAAAAAGTATCCATGTAATCATAGATTCTAGTATTTTGTAGAAAATTAACATCGCATTCACCATTCTATAATTTACTTGCTTTAAAACTCATAGGGGACTTAATAATTAAATTGTTCACTTACTTGAACATAATTGATAAAATCTTCCTTAAAAAGGGCTCTTCGCTGTATTCTATATTCTAGATCCGAAGCTTTCTTAATGATAGCTCTGAGGAGAAAGTAATTTAAAATATTACAATAACACTAAAAATCAGGTTAAAACTTTTTTTTAAAGTCTCTCTTATACATTTTTAAAACACATTCATCACAACACATAATAAACATGAAATTTTTAACTATGGTATGCCAGCCTTCTCTCAACATGATTACTTCTATATTCTTTACCACATCAGGACTTACTTTTAAATTATCTAGGAAAATTATCTTAATCTATCACCAGGAGCATTTACATTCACATCAGCAAAGTTAAGTAAACTGTTAAGTCATTTACATTAGTTATATGATTGTTCAAACCCACCAGCAGCTCTTTGGAAACCCTATGCACGGCTGCTTAAGTCTGAGCCATCTTACTAACAACATAAATGAGAAAAGATTTTTTTTCCCTCCAAATTCAGATTGCTTACATTTCAGTAATAATCAGGTCTATTCCCAAAATTACTCTATTTCTGAATTTTAAATTTTAAATTTTTTTTAAATCCTACATTGCTTTGGATTGTTGTTGTTAATTGCCATCCAGTCGGTTCCCACTCACAGAGACCTATCTATATAGGGTTTCCAGAGAGCAGCTGGTGGGTTTGAAATGCTGACCTTGTGATCACAGTCTAGTACTGATCCTACAGCACCACACCAGGAGTCCATTAGAAAGGTTTATTATTAAAAAAAGATGTATGGGAGAAAATTCACTGATGTGGAAGAAAATTATCTTTACTTACAGTAATTGCTGTTATTTGCCATGGAGTTGGTTCCTGGCTCATAGCTACCCTGTCTGTATAGGGTTTCCTAGGAGCAGCTGGTGAGTTTGAACCATCAACCTTGCAGTTCAAATAGACCCTGAGGTCCAGTGCTTATCCTATGGAGCCACACCAGAACTCGTTATAGTAATGTTGTTGAGGGCCGTCGAGTCCGTTCGGACTCATAGCAACCCTATACAGGGTTTCCTGGGAATGGCTGGTGAGCCGAACAGCCTACCTTAGGGTTCAAGCCGACTTTACAGTCCAGCACACTAACCCACAGCACCACACTGGTACCCCACTAAAGTAATAGTAAAGAATTACTGAACACTTATTAAGAGTCTAAACAGTTACGCTGTTTTATGCACAAATGTTTAAGAAGTCTATAGACTACTAAATTCACAATCATTGCAAAATAAAGATATAGTAACAGAAAGCATATAAAACTATTGGTGGTGGTTGTGTGCCACTCAGCAGATTCCAATTCATAGCGACCCTGTACAGGGTTGCCAAGGCTGTAAATCATTACAGGATCAGAAAGCCTCATTTTTCTCTCACGGAGCAGCTGGTAGACTCGAACTGCTGACCTTACGGTTAGTAGCCCAGCTCGTAATCCATTACACTACCAGTTAAATTTAACTAATTTTAACAAATAAATTCCTGAGTGCCAACTATGGTGACTAGCACAGCGGTAAAATATGAAGTTGAAAGGTTCCTGTCTTCAAGTCTAGTTAGACTTAAGTTACCCCTCCCGGGTTCCCACCTTATCCCAACCTCCCGACACGCACACGCCCCCAAACTCCCTTCAGTGCGCGGCACCATTTCCTTTTCCCCAACCCTCCCTCACTTAATCTCCGAATGGCTGAACAGTCCAATGCGCTCCAACTGTTCTAATTCCGGGAGCCGATCTTCTATGCGTTCCTGGATTATCTCCGCCATGAGGTTCCAACGCTACACCACAATCAGGAAACTCACAACAGCAAACACGCGCAGAAAAGAAGCAGCATCAATTCCGCGATCCCGCCTTTACGCTCATACGTACTAACGTAACGTGCTCCCTAGCTCCCGCCTCTTCCGCTTCCGCCACCTCAGCTGGCGGGGAAGGCCATATTGCATTTAGGACAAGTATCTCCGCCCTATGGCCAATTGTGGGATTACAGCAGGAACTCATCCGGGTGGTGGAGTAGGACGCTCCAGGGGACTAGATAGGAGGGGCGGGGATGCAGTGGGGCGGAGCTAGTGCGGGCTTTGCTGGACTTGGGCGGGGGTCGGGAAAGGCGCCTGCAGATCGCGAGCAGTTACCTGAAGGTTGGGATACCTTTTCTTCAGGATGTTGGTTTCTTTTTTCCACGCCCACCCTACGCTCCCAATTTTCAACAACAAAAAAGCGAAAAGTGTAGAATAATGTAATAGTAATAGTAAACATTTCAATAAGTCACTAATGAAGATGGTTGTTGTTGTTGTTGAGTGCCGTCAAGTCGGTTCCGACCCATAGCGACCCTGTACAGGGTTTCCGAGGGTGTAAATCTTACGGGAGTAGAAAGCCTCATCTTTCTCCCGCGGAGCGGCTGGTAGTTTCGAACCACTGACTTTAAGGTTCGCAGCCCGATTCGTAATGAAGATGGTTGTTGTTGTTGTTGTTAAGTGCCATCGAGTCGGTTCCGACCCATAGCGACCCTGTTAGGGAAGCTAAAACACCTGTTTACTTTCGGGTACATTTTGCAAACCAATGTGACAACATTGATTTTCCTGTGCCGACTAGAATCTCTGATTGAATCATTTTTAAATCGGGAGAAATTTTATTGTTTGAATAACGGGAATTTGAAAGCAAAATCAAAGCCCATGGCCTTGGGTTGGTATCAGGAACTATAATTTTTTTCGAGAAGGAGATCTTGGCATTGAAAAATTGGTAAGGTACAGTAACAAATAAATAAAGTAGCATTTCTAAGAGAACCATCACGCACCCCTATACTGAAGCAGTACTGCTAGTACCATTACTTAAAAACGACGTGGCTCAGGACTACTTAAGTTCTGGAAGATGATAAAAAGCCAAAGCTGGAGTTCTTGCTAAACCTGTTTATTTCAACACATGTATTAACACCTTGATCTGCTGTGATTTATGAAAGGGGAACAGTCTTAGCAATTAACCAAGTTCCACCTTCTCTGTCTTTTCCTTTTTTCCTTTTACACTTTACCAGCTGGTCACAGACTGAGACAAAAGCTGGTTTCCATGTCATCATTTCTTGATTTCCTAAGCAGTTAAAGACATTAGGAGAGTGGAAAAAAATCATGGACATAAAACAAAGATGAAATGTCTTTGTATTACGAACTTCTCTGGGACCTATGGTATCTGTAAAAGTGGGAGATGCTATATACTAAACTCCTGTTTTGTTCACTAGACATTCAGAACTTGAAACGGTGCCTAGAGGTTAGTTTAAGTAAGAAGTCACTGGATGGCAACTGGTTTTGTAGCATATAATAAATGCTCAATAAATAAATGCATAACAAAATAAGAAAAGATACTTGCCATTTTATAAGGAAGTCTGGAAGCTCTAGCAGATTTGTAACTTTCTTAAAAAACAAATTTGATAGAAACCCTGCTAATCATATATGACAACTTTTAAATAACCTGTACACTCCCCCTTATTTTGAAATTTACTACCCATGTTTATCTTGCTCCAAGAATTATTAAAACAGATACAGCAAAGCTTTTTTTTTTTTGTCACTTGTGCATCTCACAAATAATAACTATCACTTATTGAGGGCTTACATGTATGTATCTAGCTGCTATATGCAGTATTCTAAGTGCTTCATATACTAACTCAATCACATTACATAAATATTTTTTTTAAATACCAACCTAAAAAAGAACTCTCCAATAGGTCAAAAGCATCTACTAGAGAAAGAACAATACCGCAAAAGAAACTGTGTTTGCATAGTACCCAGTAGGTCTCAGAATCCTTTGCTGAACACACTTTTCCAGTTAAGGACCCCTAAGAACAGAGAAAAAGTGCTCTTGGAGTCTGGACCTTGAAAGCACCCCTGGGAAAGCTTCATGTTACTTTTAGTCTTGTATTCTAATTTTTAAACACACCTTAGTAAGATTAGTAAGGAAGCATGACTGGGAAGGCATAGGGAGCATTGTGAGTGCTGGAAATACTTGATTTGAATGGTCAGTTACGTCCATGGGTATATACATATGTAAAAATTCATCCAAGATTTGTGTCAAGAATTCAATTTGTGTACACTTTATGGAAATTAAATTTTTAACTTAAAAGAAAAATATAATCACCAAACTCTCTCATTGAGGCTAATTCTTTTCAAGACATGTAACTATTATTAATTTTAGGTTAATCAAAGCCTTTTCCCTCTCCAAAAGAGCTCATGTGAATTTTGCACTCTAGCTTACACGTTATTGTTTTTGAAATACAAATTATTGTGAGTGTCTCACCCAGATTGTTGAAGGAAATTGATCTCAGAGAGATGTACCCTGTTCATTTTCATGGCTTAGAGAGAAAACCTTGACCTAGTTACAGTGCTCATGAGCCCTGTAAAGGAAGGAAAGTTTCAGTTAGGGTCAAAATACACAGATGAACACTAGTCAGATGTCTGTAAATCAAGGATGCTTGCCTTTAAAGTACTTAATTGTATCTTCAAAGTAAACTTGAACTTTTCTGTGGGATACTCACATTGTCAAGTCACCTCTAAAGATTCTGAGTTCATGGACAACTTAGTGGATAAAAAAACAGCAGAAGAAACACTCAACTTTTTTTTCCTTACAATATTAGTATTTGGTAAACGGAAGTACTTAATTTCAGGGATAATGAGAGACAAGGCACCTGGAATCCCATCCCCCTTCCTCGATCGGAATCCCCTGCCTGTTTCTCCCACACAGCACTCTGGTAGACTTCAAAGTCAGAGCAGGAGTGATAGACACAGATTGGTCTTTGATGCCTAAGAACGTCGGAGCTCTCAGTTTGATGCGAATGCAAAGCATCTGCACTTCTCAAACCTTTCATGTTATCTCACATTTCTAACAACAAAAGCTGAAAAGTTTGAGGTGACACACATTAAAATATCTGGAACCAGTAACTTTTCATTTCTTTTTCTACTATTTATATAGCTTCTTTTACTTAGGAACTGCTCTGGATAGTAAATTACTTCTGGCACATAGCCTTGTCAGCTTGCCAAATTTCTACTGGAGCAAGTTTTTACAGCCAGGCTAATAAGCCCTGAAAATTAGGAGGTAAGTATAGTGGAAATAATGACATGGTCTTTAACTGCAGGCGCATAGAATGGCAACGTGAGATTCTACTTTTTAAAGTTTTTTTGTTTGTTTGTTTTAAATTCTCATGGAATTTTTATTTATTTATTTAGGTTATTCTAGTTCAAAACACATGTACATGAAAAGGGTCTCTTTTGATTAGTTAAAAGCAATTTTGTGTAGGGTTTTTTTTTTTTTTTTCCTCCATGGCTTAAATAATTGCTTTTTGAAAACTCAAACAAAATACAAAAAGAAAACCAAGAATATGGTATTTTGGGGATTGCCACCTAATATTAAAACGAACTGACATTTTCAAAAAACATGTTCTGAAATGATTGGTGTCCAGGATGGGGACTGGCAATTGTTTGTATGTGAATACATTTCATCAAAGCCACAGCTGCATCAACTTTTTTCCAGTTTGCCCCAATCCAGATAGAAACCCAATTCCCTCTTTAACTTACAGGCCTTTTGAAGACCGCTTCAAGAAATTAAAAATGAATATCAAATTTAATTTTTATCATTGAAAGAAACTTGTGGGAAGTAGTATCCATTTCTCAAGTTTTAATTTTGACATCTGTTCTTATTCATCATTTAAAAATGACAAAGAAAATTAGTTTTCTTCTTCTCATTTTGTCCTCCAATTAGACCTAGGCTGATTAGCCTCATCATCACATGCTCAGCCACAAATTATTTCAGCAAGAAATCTGGGGTTTTTGGTTTTAGTTTCTTAACTAATGCACTGGACCCTGAGGTTGTTTGAATTGCAAGGTCAGAGGTTCAAACTCACCAGCCACTCCTTGGAAACCCTATACAGGGTCTCTATGAGTCGGAACCAACTCTGAAACACACAAGCACCACCACCATACTACTAGGGCTCCTTGTTGTTATTGTTGTTAAGAACTATGGAGTTCCGACTCATGGTGACCCTGTACAGGGTTTCCAAGGCTGTAAATCATTACAGGAACAGAAAGCCTCATCTTTCTCCTGCAGAACAGCTGGTAGTTTTGAACTGCCGACCTTGAGGTTAACAGCTCAATTCCTAACCACTATTGCTACCAGGGCTCCTTAGCTTATGTTAATGTTGTTGTTAAGTGCCCTCTAGTCAGCGCCGACCCATAGTGATCCTGCTGTATAGGGTTGCCAAGGAGCAGCTGGTTAATAGAGATACAAAATAACATACTATGGCTGGAGACCATAAGAAAACTGGCATTTTTGGAGCAAGGCCATATTATTTTAGTATGTTGTTGTTGTTACATGCCATCAAGTCTGTTCCAACTCATAGTATTCCTATTATAGGGTTTCTGAGGCTGTAAATCTTCACATGAGCAAAAGTCTCATCTTTCTCCAACTGGTCAATTGGAAGGACTGACCTTGCGGTTAGCAGATTGTAATCTACTACGCTACCAGGGATCTTCCCTAGTAACATAGTGGGTTATGAATTGGACCGCTGACTGCAAGGTCAGCAGTTTGAATCTACAAGATACTCTGTGGGATAAATATGATACTTACTTCCCATAAAGATTTACAGCCTCGGAAACCCTACACAGGAATGCTATGAGTCTGAACTGACTTGATGGCATGTAACACTGAGTCAAAACCAACTTGACACCACCACCACCATTAAGATAACTATTCTCTGTGTCTTGAATATCTTTCACCTCCTTATCCAGTTGGCAATCTTACTTTATTAAAAATAAAAAGAAGACGACTGTTCTTACCAGCCCCCTATCAC